AAGCTAATATCTAATGAATACGAGTGAATTTGTTTTATTGTACTTTACTATTTAATTTATTGATATTAAGTAGGATATAGGTGTTATTATACAATACTTAATCATTATTATCATAATATCTGAAAGTGCGTAAATATCTAGTCGATGGAGTTGACTTCTTTATTTTTCCGATTTTTACAATCAACTTGACCTCTCGTTTCGACTTTTAAACTTAATAACTTAGCCACCGAGCTACCTTAAAAGTTTTTCTTTATTTATTCAAATTAGCTGCTAGAAAATAAAATAAGACGTTACTTATTAATATCATTTTTAGAAAAAAGTAAAAAAAATAAATCAACGCGATATTTTCTATTAAAAGAACGTTATTGAGTTTATTCAATATTTAGGTAAAGCTAGATAATCAGTAATCAAACACTCTCATTATTATTTGTATGTAAGTAAGATAAAGATAATATAAAGGGCGGTTAAGACGCATTTTTTAAAGTTAATGCGTAATGATATATAATGATCACGAGAATAATATTTGTTATGGCAGCAATGATCAAAATTGTTCCCATTTTAAGATACGAGCGAATACGAATGGTTAAGAATATTTTTTTTATAAATCGCTCACTGAATAGTACAGTGGTACAACTCAAAAACCATTATTTCGAATAAACGCCACAACGCTGTGGTGACATCCCATAGATAATTTAAAGAATAAATAAAAAACAGTAATAATATATTATAAACTATTTAACTGTTATGCTAAAAAAAATGATTTTCATAATTATAAATATATTAAATTTTCATAACTTCGGAGAGCGTTTCTCGAAATATGGTTTTTGAGTTGTGCCACTGTACTATTCAGTGAGCGAAATGAGCAGCTTAAATAAAATATATAAATATTGATCAATATCACATACATTGCTCAGATTCCAAGATGAGTAGTTAAAGCCCCCGTATTATGGAGTATCTGAGACAACGAAGGTACACACCCAGGCTCGAGATAATTTAGAAAAATCAACTTTCTTATTTATTCCGGTCATTGGACCGGGCCCAGAATCGAAGCTCAGAGATGGCGGGACCTTGAAACCGGCATTCGAACCACTCAGCTACGGAGGTGGTTTATCGTCAATAAGCATCATCCTATTATCTTAATTAAGTATCATCATCAGCCCCACTGCAGGGGCTCAGTTACCGATCGCCAATGCAGCCGGGACTAACGGCTTAACCTTACGAAGCAAGGTAGTAACTGGAGATAATAATTTTTCGGTCACCCATCCCTTGACCAACCCTTGCGAAAATTGCTTAAAAACAACGATCGCTGACCGTGGCGCTTATCCGCTACGCCACCGAGCTCTCTCAATTATGTAATAACAATTAATATTTTTTCTGTGTCATCATGATCTACCCACTAACAATATTAAAAACAGAAATACAAATAACTACCGAGAAAGCAAAAAATCTATGGCTGAGTAAAGACCGATTTTGAGGACCTTCTTGAGGACTGGGGGCCAATTCTACATACGATACAATTCCAGTTTTATTTTAGCTGGAATTGTATCGTATGTCACTTAGTAGAATAGAAAAACCACTAAAAACTGTAGTTTTGTTCGGTTTCGACCCGTTTCGATCCGTTTTCGATTCGATTTAAACAAAATTTATTTAGTAAAAAAATTTATTTAAAAAAATTAATTTATTTTAAACAAATTTTTTTAAATTAATTACTATTATTGAAAATCTTACTGTTATTACAAGTGGAATGACCTTACATCTTAACTTACTACACTTTTACTATCTTGACTTATGGTTTTTTCCATGTATTTAATATGATCCATGTTATGCGTCCTTTTTTGTGTGATTCCTTTTTCTTAGTTGATACTCCATGTGCGCTTCAGTCTCTTATATTTTTATTGTGATTATTACGCTATATCACTAAGTAGGTATACTTTATTATTATTTTATTCAAACCTTATAGATTTGGCCGTTTTCTTTTCAAAGACGATTACTAATACTAGTATCTTATTATTATTGGGCAGTACGTCACCACTCGCCACTTGGGAGGAGTCGGCTGAAAATCGACGTTGCAGTTATCTGTAACACATGTCGAGCTGACACCTTTTGGACACCACACCGGGTGCACTCTGAGTTAATTATAATTAATGTGTAATGTCGTTATTTTTTTTTTGTTTTGTTTTTTGTTAATATGTAATTGTGTGTGTTCAATAAACGTTTCAATTTCAATTTCAATTAGTAGAATTGGTCCCCTGTTCGTACTATTGTACAACTGGCGAACATAGAGGATGTTACATTTGCCTAAAGAGTTCTGCATTTAAGAACCATAACGATCTGAAGGTACTTCGGTACTTTCAGGACAGCTCTTTGTGTTATTTCTATGTTTATTTTGGTCTACTGACATAGATCAATACATATTGCTCTGAGTAAGTGACTTTACAACTTGCCTAAGACTATACTGTGACTTACACTAAGTTCAAATAAACGTTGAAAATATATTCGATAATTCAATCTCATTATAAAGTCATTTTAAAATTATTTATTACACTTTATAAATGATCGCATTCGATAAACGTTATCCGTGTTTGATTAGGTATTTCATTCATATCTAATTAAATAAATCTACCTAATGCGATATATTGCGACAATTAAATAAGATAACATCAGGCACAGGCAAATATAATAAGAGAAATAAAATAAAAACCGGCCAAGTGAGTCGGACTCGCGTACGAAGGGTTTCTCACCAAAATCAGTATCTACGGAAAAACGTAAAAAATCACGTTTTTTGTATGGGAATACTTGTATGGGATACTTATTGCACACAAAATATTACATTTTTCAATAAAAAATAACACATTAAGAAGAGTAGGAATACACAAAAGGCGGCTTTGTTGTTAAAAAGCAATCTCGATTAAATTAACGATAGGGATACAACCCTAATATATTTATTTTATTGTTATTTTATTACACCATTTGTGATTTCAATTGTCTAGCTATCACGGATCACGAGATACAGGCTGGTGACAAACAAGCGGACGCACAGACAGACTTAAATCGGAGTCAGCGGAGTCTTATAATATGGTCCTGTGTGGTAACCCTAAAATCCATAGTCAGTATCAATATCTATACATAGATATAATCATAATATATTTTTCAATCAGCAAGATAAATAAAAAACAAAAAACCCGACTGCGTGAAAACATGAAATGAAATGAAAACGTCTTTATTCACGTAAGCTTGTTTCAAGCACTTTTGAATCTTCCAAAAAAAATTGTTTCCCCCTACCACTTGTTCAGGACGTCTTTTAGTCGACAAGAAGAACAAGCGAAAGAAACTTATCAGCTCTTTATCATAATTAATGACATTTACATAAATCATGTCATTACCAAAACAAAATAGAGAATGGAAAAAAATGTATTATTACTTTCACTAAAAAGAAAAAAACAAGCACGACAACGCGGTACTTCATACTGCACAACAGACGGTTTCCAAGTTACAAGAGCTGGGGTAGGAAGTTCTCCGTCGTCCACCGTACTCATCAGACTTTGCGCCTAGTGACTTCTACTTTTCCCAGAATTTGGATAACTTCTTGGTGGGAAAAAAATCAATACCGGAGAGGCAGTACAAAATGCCTTTGAAGAATTTGTTGCCTCCCGTCTAGCTGATTTCTTCAAGAAGGGCATCAATAAGCTACCAATGCGTTGGCAAATATGCATTGATTGCATGGGTGATTACTTTGATTAATAGAAATAAAAAATATAGCAAAAAAATACGCTTCATTTATTTTACGAAAAAAACAATTTCATAGGTAAAGTCCTAATATAAACCACCAATGATAGAAATACTGATGTTACTGAGGCAAAATTTAGTTTTAATCCTGTCAAACTGCGTTTTAAATTCTGTTAATAAGGAGACTTTTATATCATCGTATGCAAGCCCTATCTATAATGTCTCAATAAAGACTAGGAAGTAATAATATGTACATACGTAACAAATAATACAGAAAAGGGGTCCTAATCTGTTGGACAACCACGAACGACAATTTGTAAAATTTCGAACTGTTATAATAATTTGTTGCATCATAAATTATCAAAAATCGGCTTTCTTTGAACTGATACGAGAGTTTCGAAATTAGACAAAATTTTGGGTACAGAGAATTAGAGTAGGCCTTCAGGTCAGAACACACCGTTGAAGCCGTGAGTAAGTAGGCACTCCAGCAGCTAATGAAATATAAGACATTACTTTTTGTAAATGCAGATTTTTGAAGAAAAGATTCACTTAGCCCCTATAAGCGTTTAATTTTAATTTCACATAGATTATCAACTTTTTATGTCAATATGTAATGAAATTTGCTTTATCGGGTATTACCGGGTCTAAAACGTATAGTACTAATATTATAAGTAGATACTATTTGAATATTTGTTTGTTTGCTTTAAAACTGCTGGACTGATTTTATAAATTCTTCTACTTATGTACGGGATACTTCATCATACGCAGATATTTACACGCCTATATTTACATTGCAAGTCGCGGGAAAACAACTAGTGTTTGATATTTTCATATTTCCACGTATCGTGTTGCGTCGTATCGCTCACCCCTTTTAAACGTTGTACAATCTTCTGAGCTTTTTTTTTTCATTAAAGTTAAGAATGTGTTTATTACATTATTATCATTAAACTATAATCCTTCATTAATCACAGAATTGATAATCGGCTTGATTAAGATTTGAGTTCTCCAAATATAATTTTTAATATTAAACAATTATGAAATTGTTATATATTTATCTATAGGACGCCAATAGTGCATGCATTACTACAATAAAGCATTACTAAACATAAAGGCACTTTAAAACTTCAATTATCTGATATCTTATCTAAATCCAAAAATAAAATCTACTAGATTTTTTCAATGGCACATTTTTAGCGCGTATGACGTAAACGTAATAGCATAACTAGAGGTATAAATACTAATAAGTGTACGGGACCATACGATACTCAATTGATAGCATCCAAACTAGATAATAAATCATATAAAAAGAACAGAGTATGTCGAACTGTTGGCTGATTGTTTAGATATCATTGGTGAAGTTGAGTGGCTAGCAATATGCGTGTTTTTGTTTTACTCACAGCCGTTTTAGTGGGCGTGATTGCTTTGCCAACTAACAGACCTGAACCTGGTGAATTAGCCTTCGTACTTAGCGAGGATGCATTCGAGGACTATCTGGATGCGTGGCTTGCAATAGAAGAAAACAAAGGAGCCAATACAACTGCGAATTTTAATCTTCGAAGTGGTAAAGTCGACAAGTGATTTATTTAAATATTGAAACATTAAGAATTAATTGTTTAAAATGGCTTTGTTATATTCATTCGATACGGAAGTTGCTTGCTATAATTCAATATTATTTATCAACCTGCAGGTTGTACCTTCAGAGTGAACGGAGATCTTGGCCAGCCTCAGCCCGTGTACCTCCTTGGGAATAACTTTCTTCGTCCCAATAGTAACTCTGGTCAGATTCATCTCAACGTTGGCCAACAAGTCCGAGTGAGCTGTCCCGGTTCTGGACGCACTATTCAGCATGCGAACTTAGCATCTTCCGTACATACTGCTGTAAATATGAATTTTGATGACTTCTATACCTAGTACCCGCATAACAGTACTTAAAAATACCTAGAAAATTGTCAACTCTCAGAATAACAAAGTAAAATGGCTTTATTTTTAAGTGATTACTATAGATTAACTAAAATTTTAAAACCAGATTAAAAAGGTAAATCAAAATAGAGTAGCTTAAATTTGTATTTAAACAAAGAAAACACACCTACCGGGACTAAAATTAAATATCTACATAAAATAATTACTTAATTGATGCTTGTGATTGAAGATGTTACAGAACTAAATTAAACTTTCAGACTGCTACTTGTGTAAATAATAATCTAGTCTCAGGATCAGGATGGCTCCATGGAAACAGTGCCTTTGGGGGTCTTGTTTGCTCAACACACCCTGCCCACCAGGCACAAGCGACGGGTGGCAGATGTTTTAATAATAATATTGTTATCAGGTATGCCCATCTGTCAATTAATCTGTAATATTATTTACAGAATCTGTATTTGTGTACTTAAATCTAAAAATAGTTTGAAGTTCTTTCTATGTTTTTGATAATAAAATATTTAACAATTGGCTGCGGATTGTCAAAGGGATAAAATAAATGATAAGTCTAAACACCTATTTAAATGATTGCCATTCCAGGAACTGAGCTCACCTAAGATTATATTGAGTGAGACATATACCCAATATCACCCCCACCCATCTTGGGCCAGCTCATTAACCACAATTATTTACGCCATTTTTATAAATTATGAGTACCTGTGTTGCATATTTCTTATTAGGATTTATTGTCAACTCTCAACATGTAAAAGTTATTAGAATTTGCTAGCGTTTCCCTTTGCCCACAAAGAATTTCTAAAATAAGGAAACAAAGGTAACACCTATGATGTTGTCCTAAAGTCGGCCGCTTCAATATATAAAATTTAATTGGGGTGAATTTTGTATAATGTGTGTAGGTATCCAACATGTTATTAAAGTTTGGTTGCAACAACTTATTTTAACAATAACAAACATGTTGAAGCAAAAAGTGAGATGCACCGTTTGACAATGATTAGATGACGTCAAATTTTTAATTGTTATTATTATCGCTTAAACATCGCTAGTTAAAATTATTGTTTAACAATGCGAAGGAGAGGCTTGTGTAACGTAATCCGCAGCCAATGTTAAAGTCAGCATTACAGTTATCGTCAAATATGATATAAACTTAACTTTAACTGCTAATTATGGTACAATCAACCTTGTCTAATCATCATTAGTGACACAATTAAATTTAGCATCCTAATTTAGCATCCATAATAAATTTAACCCCTTGACGGTCGGTCGGTAGCGTGGACTGAATTTTACAATAGGTACTTTGGTACGGCGATAATTCACATTCCTTGGAATGATTAAACAGTTTATTTTTATCAAGAATCTGTCATATTTCTTATCTTTGCAGACATTGCAAAAGTGACATACAAAACATTACACAATACATGATATTGAATTATGTGTTGGTACGAGTATAACTAATCATAATTTTTGTATACTATGTTTTAGAGTTGGTTTTGTCGTCGATAATGTGTTCCATACATGGTATCAATCCTGTTTCGATCAAAATCGTTTGGAAGTATTATATGTCTGGTACAATCAAGATGCCACTAACGCAGTTCATCAAACTAATGTAGCCAGGCCAAGTTGGAGTGGTCTGTAACAAAATCCTCTTACTTATAATGAAATTAAACTGATATTTGAGTTTTTACTAAAATTTACAGAAATTTATGACAACATAATTTTGCAGCTGGCAGTTTCTTCCCTGGGCTAAATATTAACAGCGTGTACACTCAAGTACAACAGAAACAAGCTATTGCAAATATTGTTGGACAAAGTATGGCTGATCGTTATGTGACAAGTACTCAGTTTTTAGCCCGAGGTCACCTTACAGCTAAGAGTGACTTTGTATTTGCTACTGCTCAACGTGCTTCATTTTACTTTATTAATGCCGCTCCTCAATGGCAGCCGTTCAACGCTGGAAATTGGAACTGGCTCGAACAGGTGATTTATCTTTTTTTTTAAATAATTTGATAATTAACATGCATGGTTTCTCAAGTTCTGATTATATGATATCCATCATCAGCTATCAATCCTTGACCTTGGCAATATAAGCTTTAGTAGATTATAATTTTTATTTTTGCTTAATTGTTATCTAAAATTTTTATTGTCAAGAGTACTAATTAATCTATACATCTACACAAAAATAATCTTCCTTAATTCCCATATTTTTGGTAGTAAAACATTATGCATTATATTTTCCAAATGCAATTAATAATATATATCACATTATTTATAGAATCTCCGAGCCCGTATCGGCCAGGCTGGATATAATACGGTTATTTACACGGGTACATTTGGAGTTACTCAACTTCGTGACGCAAGTGGGCATCTTCGTAATATTTTCCTTCATCAATCTGGCAACACTCCTCAAGTTCCTGTACCAATGTATTTCTATAAGGTCAGTCAAATAGCAACATTGTATTATATGTTCATTAATTTGCGTTTTGAATATTTTTTTTGTTAATAATCTGTATATTTTAGGTGGCATATGATGCGAGTCGTCGTCTTGGAACTGCTTTTGTTAGTATCAACAATCCTTATTACACACTTGCTGAAGTGCGCAGCCTTCAGTTCTGTACTGACCGTTGCCGTAACAACAATGCCTTCAACTGGCTCAACTGGCAGCCTGATCGCATCGATATCGGTTACAGTTTTTGCTGTACCATCCCCGACTTCAGAAGAGTTATCGCACATATTCCAAACTTCAGCGTCAATGGTCTTTTAACATAAGTTGTATACATGTTACTTTACTGCTTCTCGAACTATGGTGGTGTAAATAAGATTTTTTTAAAATATTTTTCCGAGGTATTTTTTATCATTTCATGTGAAAGCTTTTATGTTTTTTATTATTCAATGCATTCAATGCTGTTGAACATTACATACATCAGATCCCAAGTGAAGTAGGTATACGAAATTGTATTATAGAAATCTAAAACTCAGATACGAAACAAGACAAAAACCACTTTCTAGATTGACTCTACTAGGAATTTAACCCGATACCTCAGAGTGTGTGCAATACTTTAAAACCGACGTGCATTCGGTCACATATTTTCGAAATTCAAATCATCATTTCTATCTATATTTCAAATACAGGAAATGCTGAGCACAATTCATTATGCTTATTCTTGTTTTAAATTACAAACAAAAATAAATAGAAGCGAAGATTACCATATTGAGAAAAAAAGAAAACGTAATCATTCCTCTTTATATCATTATATAAATTCTAAATTTCAAGTTTAGAAAGATTTTTAAAGTAATTACTATAGGTGTCGGTTTAAAGTCAATGCCATAGACAAGCTTATTACGCCATCACGCCGCTGAGTTTAAAGACTTGAGAAGGAAGGTGCGCCTTTGTTGATGGAGTCAATGAATTAATAATTATTCAGTAGCCAGGGTTAAGGCGGGTCCTTGTGGCATGAATAGGGCAAAATAGGCCTAATGTCATGACCATGGATTGCCTGAAGAATACTTGTTAAGCTGATTTTCAAAGGGATCTTTCGTTATAAAGGAAATTCAACACCTTGATTTTATTATTTTCCAATGAAAACTATGCAACCACAATGAGTTATCGTAAAATAAAAAATGTAGTATAAGTGCCAATATCTGCTTTGTCCCATGCCAGTCATCTAACTAAAGTATTATTTAACAAAGAGTACCTACAGTAGTTAATTAAGGCACAAGAGGAGATTGTATGAATTAAAATTTTCATCATTTTATTTGGGTGGTATTAAAAGCGCCTGTATGCACTTTATTTATATTAGCTTTGTTCAATAGATACTAGTAAAACTTCAGTACCTATCAATATCAATTTAAAGTACATCATCTCATTAAAATGTTTATGTTAAGTACAATAAACATGTACATTAACAAATTAAGCAACAAAAACTTAAAAAAATAATACTTATCTCAAAAGTGACTTATTCAAGAAAATGCTATTAAAGTCGGGCGTAGGGTTTCTGTAGGTTATTAATAAATGTATTTATTCTTTTTACTTCAATAGCATTTTCATGAGTAAGTCGCTTTTGAGACAAGTATTATTTTTCACTTTTTTAAATTTGAAGTCGGTTCTATTTTTTAGAAGTTTTTTTTTTTATTTCATGTTTCTTAGTATTATTGATATTTTTATATCATAGGTAACAAAAAAAAATCCTTTTGTGAAAACCGCGTCAAAACCGTGTCAAAATGCGAACCTTCACTTTTTTAGTCTGTTAATATGGCTTAAACCTCATAAGTCTGAAAAATACTATGCTAAAAATTGAAAAGGGACCACACCGGAAGCACCAGTTTCAGATAAAATAAAAAGTTTTGAGGTAACAAACATCATGCATATTTAATGCAAATTTTAGGTTTATATGGTAATTTTATAGATGCCATTGCCAGATCAAATTAAAATGGGACCACACGACAAGCATAAGCTTTAAATTTTAAAAAAATATTAAAATCGGTAAAAAGTAAGACGAATTGTGACTTCTCTTTTTTGAAGTCGGATAATAAATAAACAATCCCACCCACCTACAGTTTTGTAATTGTAGATATGCGTCTTCTGAAATCTTATCACGTATTCGAGCAGAACTTCGAATGAAATAAAATCATTTTTACCATCTACGGTAAGTTTTATTTGATTGAACTTCTATGACGTGACATAGAGCACGTTCGACTACGAGTTCGAGGCTATTTTTAAAACGTAAAAGCACTACAGATATCACAGTCGTCGTCGCATTAGTTGGGCGTGAAAATGTAACATACAAAAACAAAAACAGTTACATTTCTTTCATAATATTAGTATGAAGTATTATATGGATTGTAATATTTTTCAGTCGTGTTTTACATCCATTCTTCATAAATGTAAGAAAGTTGTGAACGATTTTCATTGTTAATTCTTGTCATGTTAAATAACAATGAAGCGGTAATTAAATAACTTTCGAACGATGTTTTAATTGTATGTAAATATGTAGGATACGTATGAAACATTTTGAAATTACGTTCCTAAAAAATAGTTATCTATGTTTCATAAAAGCATTATCGTAAGTGTGTGTGTAATCCTATCCAATATCTAAGTGTGTGTGTGGTTAATCCGATAATAGAATATTCATGATTTAAGATTAATAAACTGAATTATATTTACTCACGCAATTTATCTGATATTTCGTAGTAATATTTTTAGTAATATAATCTAATTTTTCATGAATAGGTGCCATTTTTTCTAGGTATAAGTTGCAGAAATGCTATTATTTTGTTTATAAGTTGCTACTCACTAGTGCTTAATTTTGAAGACAGATTTATTAAACTACGAGTATAATAAAACTATTTCGATGACATAGAGACATAAACATATCTAAAAATCAATCAAAATTTTGTTCAAAATTGACTGAAAAAAATTGTTGGCATTAAAGCAGTTCAAAGGAGATTTCCACTTTTAATAATGTAGCACGTTTGGAAGATTTAATGAGATGGAAGTGGCATAGGACCCGAAATACGAGGCATTAATCACGGCACCAGAGTCAACTAAATATTTAATTGTGTTGCCGCTTATAAATACGGCATTCGCACACCGGCTAGTCACACTAGGAGGAGGACACTAAATTCTTTACGCGCAATCTTTTGGGGAAATGTCTTGGACGATCTTAAAAATTCAACCAGCTATGTACTTTCAAAATTTTATTTTCAGTGTGGGTATCAATGTTAACTTATTCAAGACCCCATGATCACGTCCCTGGATCCGCCCTTGTCTCGAAGCCCCTGGTAGGTTTGTAGTAGCAGAAAACTTATAGTTAGGATACATAGTTGTAACGGTAATGGATTATTACATCCAAAACTGGATTTCAGATTAAGTAAAATTTGGCCTAAAACCTTATACCGTTATGATATTTTAAACATTCACTAAGATAGCTGATTTAATAGCCGCCGCGACATTCATCTGGTATACCTATATTCTTCGTCATCGATTCGATCATTGAGTTAGATACTCAGTTGATCAACGTTAAGGCTAGCTGTCCAATGAGGAAGTATTTAAAAACAATAAAGAAACCACCAAAATTTATGTCACTAGATGGCAACACAAATTGTAGGCTCAAAAATGTCAATTCAGGAAATTCGACCATAGAAATAAATCGAGAATAGAATTCTAGATAAATTGTAAACTTCTAGATGTAAAGAACTTAAAATTATATTTTAATTTTTCTTCTTTAATTTATACTCGTATGTGATACGTAATTAAATTTATAAAAAATATTTTAATTACCTAACATACTCTATACACCACACAAGTGAAGTCAGTGGACAGTATATAAAAAATCCTTAAACAATACTTTAATAATAAATTCAGATTACCAAAACAAAAAACAAGTATTATGAGATTACATATTGCGGTTTTAATTGGTCTGACATAGTACATAGTATTATTATTTCTTCTTACATGTTCATACGACTTCACTTTCTATTTAAATAATTATTGATATATCCCCGGAAATATACACGATTGCTATGTCGGAATTCATGATGTGCGACTTTGTTGATTGTCGGAGCTTAATAACGCATCCTTCGGAATCTCTAATTGTTTTGACGCAAAATATACGCAGTATCTCTTGTAATTTTAGTGATTTCTTGGTTATGCTAAACAGACTTAACATTTAATGTGACATTATTGTTCTGACCGAGTGCTGGTTGGTTATCGTGTTGCCCTAAAATACCAAAAACCAAAACGGTGGAATACACGTATATGTTAAGACTAGCCTCAGAGATTCTCTTTATGAGCCTTTTAAAGGCTCTTAAAAAGGAGATTGGTACTGAAACTGCAATATTAGCATATACGAGTAAGGTAAACGCAGGTATTACCGAGGCAAAATCAAGGCTTTAAGGTTTAAACCTTCGAAATATGAATTTCCGATCATAAAAAGAGTTACTAGTATAAATTTTCTGATACAAAGAGGTTGGAACTTTTGGGATCTATAAATATGTAGATAGTTTTTGAGGAAATACGTAAAGAAAAAAAATATTAAACATAAAAATCCGGATGAAGCTAATACCGCGATTGGTGATTCTATTACCGAGGTTAGAAAGATAATAGGCATGTTGGTTTCGTACAAAACCTTTAGTAAAACACTAATTATTGGTTACTCTAAGTTTTAATCAACAATTTTTAACACTGATAAAGTTTTTTATCAAAACCACTACATTACGGACTTATTACCTACTACTATCACTTTTACTTTTGTATCACTTTTAATCACTGATAATCTAAATAAATGATAATAATAAATAAATATCTATTTTTTTCTTACTTATTTTTTCTTATGTTTAACATGTTATTTTGAATATATTTGTTTATAAAAGCAACTGAAAAATTGGGTAGCCGCCCGAATTGTGGAAGATGCGTGGTTCGATTCCCGCCTAGGAAAAATACTGTAAATTACGAGGCACTATTTTTGAAGATATTTGGTTAAAACTCATGCAGAACGGACTGTGCGTACTCGTATACCACTGTGGAATTAAGTGGCATACGTTGACCTGTTGCTAACTGTACATGTAGACATCGAGTAAACTGAACCTCAAATCTATTTATTCATTTCCAGAGCTGTAAAATTGGCACTTGCTGCCCATCAGTTTTTTCTAATCTATGGGAAAAAGAAATAAAAATTAAACTTATTTTTGTATTAAAAGCAAGCCTTACATGTTTGGCTAAATGTGTGGCAATCGTACAGTAGTAGGGGAGACCTAGGTGAGTTGTGACAGAGGTGAGTTGTGACAAGGAGGATTTCTCTCTATAGTAAGCGAGATGGCATTAACGCTTGTTTGTCGTTCTCGACACGCGCTACACGACTCAGTACCTGTCGACGGTG